AAGCAAAACCCGGGGGCGGCCCCTGTGGCCCCCGCGGCCCGCCCCCCCCCCCCCCCCCCCAACGTACACAATCCCAGGATCAAGGCCACAGGCGCACCTCTCGTACCGTCAAAGTCCAGCCAACCGCCGTTTCCAACCGCTGAACGCCACTCTCTCCGCCAAAGGAAAAAAAAATGACGACAAATCGATGACGGAAAGACAAAGTGGTGAGCAGAGATGAGCGTTGAGAGCTGGTTCTGATTCAGAGATTGGTAGTGTTGAAGCGATGCTGGCAGAGATTAAGAGGATCATGAGAATATGGACTGTTATTGACGTTGGGCAGTGCAGAGAAAGATCAAGAACAAAGTGTATGTCAGAGAATTTATCAAGCACAGCCTTTGTTCCAGAGAATAAATTGTAACAAGAGCACAACGTGAGAGCGAAACGAAAGCGATGGAAAGTCAGAGAGACGTAACAAATTGGATCGCAAGCACGTGAAAAGCAGCAGTAAAATGGTAAGAAAGCAGAGACAGAGCGTGAGCAGCTTGGCTACCTATGGCGCCAGAGATCTGGCGCCCGTGGACGGGATCGGAGATGCGCAGGGCAGCGACTGGCAGCAGTGAACATAAATCACCTGCCCAGGTTTGCCAAGACAGGCTCAACCTTCGTTGTCAACCAGCTTGTCCTCCAGGCAAAGCGCTCGCCTGCAACGCTGCTTGCTTGAGGCACGTGAAGGCACGAGGTGCGCTGACTGGACCATTTGTCCGGTTCGGTCCAACCCACTCATAGGCCCGTCCCCGAGTCCTCTCTCATCCCCGCTCGTCCCGCTCGTCCCGCTCACCTTTCTCGCTTCTCTCCCCAACTCTCCCCATCTCTTGCGTCTTTTGCCTCGCTCTCTTTTCCTCGTATCTCGATCGCTCTGGCCCCCTGTAGTAAAAAGGAGTGGCCCTTTACTCTGAATTGGGCGTGAAGGTTTCTCTGTCTCTTCCTCCTCTTCTTCTTCTTCTTTAGGGTTCCTTTTGATTTCCTTTCTTGCTTTGGACCAAAGGCGCCAGCTTTGAGAAGGTGTGTGGCTCTGCCGCCGGAAGAAGCACGTGACTGGATCACGTGCAACACAACTGGTGGCTGCCCGCCTGGCTTTGCAAGAAGCAGTCGCGCACAGAGCTCACGCCCGAGGCAAGCATGATTTGATATCTGCATGTGTAGCTCATGAGAAGATGGTGAAAGTGACGACATTCAACCCGATTCGATGCTATAATTCAGAGAGTGTGTGTCGTGCACGATGGCTCGAACAGGCCGAGCACCCTGAGGGCTGTGAGCACGGTTCAATCGCAACTGCCATCTTTCCAGCCCTGAGATGCCCGGGCCAGATGCAAAAGACAATCGTCAGCCGGATTTCGAGCAGAGATGCACAAAGGAAGGCACCGGTGATGAGCCACGGCTTTGCATACCGTGTGCCAGCGCTCCTCGACTTGATCGCAGTCAAAAATGGGCTTGCCCAACCGCTCGTTGACGTCATTGTGGGCGCTACCCAAACACCCCGCAGACAGCATCGTGAGCTGCAATGAACAGGGAAAGAAACCACTTGCAAGAAGGATGATGCCGCAACTGCCGGCAGGCAAGACTGACCCACAAAGCCAGCGTGCAAAGGCTGGCCCAGATGAGGCATCCACAGGATGCGCCTCAATATAATGCCTAAGTCCAAACAATCATCAGGCTGGTGGACCACATGCTGTGCAGTCCAAGCCCGTCATAATAATGTCTCTGGCGCCAACCTTACCCGAGATGTTCGCCACAGTCGCGACAAGGGTAGAAGCGCCCAACCAGACGCATCATTTCGGCCATGTCCTTGCGGTCTGCCGCGGACGGGTCGCGCGGGAAGTAGGCGGCCATCGTATGCAAAAAGGCCCACGACTTGTTGCCGAGTGACAAGTAATCTTCAGGACAGCCGAGCGTCTCGCCGAGGGGTTCAGCCGCTGAAGTTGACGTGGCCGCAGCCGCCGCTGCTGTTGCTGCTGCGGTGGCCGCGGTTGCGGTGCCTGGACCACTGCTGCTACTGCCCTCGCCACCCTGACCTGTCGTGGCTGAGGCTGTGGCAGTGGAAGTAGAGGCAGAGCTGGTCGACCCTTGGGCAGCGCCCTTGCGCTGGGCTTGAGCAGCGCGTACAGCACTGGGGGAAGGTTTCTCCTTGCCGCTAACTTGCTTAAACATGTCACCAAAGCCGTTGCAGACTCGGCAGGCCTTGTCAAAGGCCGACTCCTTTGGTGCCTCGGCTGCCATGCTGACCGACCGGGTCAACAATCACCGATGCGCGCAGCTGGCACAGCTTACAACGCCGGCTATGAGACCCAGGACAGCACTTGATGCACTTTGTCCGTTGGAAACCGGATGCACAGTCCGACCAATCCTGTTTGCCTGCTGACCAATCCCACACGCCAAGGCCACATCAGCTTGCACACACGAGCCATGGCACCAGCGGCGGGAGCTCTCTCTCCTGACACTCAGTGAGGCACCCAAGCTCCATCCTCGCTCCTTCTCCCTCGCCAAGAAGCACGCCATACCACCCACCCACACACACACCCACACACACACACACCCACACACACACACACACACACACACACACACACGCGCGCGCGCGCGCGCGTCGAGCGACCCGTGCAGTTCAGGCCCGACGCACCTCATCCAGCAGCGCTTGCGCGCATGTTGCACTCAAGTCATTGAGAGAGAGAATGAGCTCTCGCTCAGGCGCAGAGATATATGCCAAACGTGGTACACAAACAGAGATAGAGAAGCTGACTGGTTTGAATGCTAGAGAGGATGGCGTGGCAGGAGGATGGCGTAGAGTAAAGTTGAAGGTATAGTGAGAGAAAATATGATAGCAAATACGTCTATAGAGATGTAAACGAGCGAATGAGAAACACCAGAGAGACAATCGTTTGCCAAAGTATCCCAAGTGTGATGTATTTTACACTTCCGCTGACGGCGGTTTTTCTCTCTTTTTTTTTTTTTTTTAAATCTCTCTCTCGACGCGACGGGCGACGGGCGACGACGGTCGAGGTGCATGAGAGAGGACGAAGAGGCGGAACTGATGCATCTAATTGGCCGTTAGTATCGATTTACAGTGATAGCTTTAGCCTGAGCCATTGCTCCTTTGCCTTGGACGCTTCGCTACGGGATCTGTGAGTGTGGCAGCGAGAGGACGGGGGCGTCAAGTGAGCCATGGCTGGGCGAAGAATGTGGAAAGGTCTTCCGCTATGGTTTGCCCTGTTGGCCATCATAGTGATAACACCTGGGCTGGGCAACACCACCGTCGCCACCACTGCTGGCACCACTGTTGGCACCACCACCACCCCTGCCTCCGTGCCTGAAACAACGGCTTCCACCTCGATCGTCTCGACTGGTGAAGCCACAACCACGACAACGACAACGACAACGACAACGACCACTGCTTCCACAACAAGCACGACGACGCCTGCGGCAGCCGCAGGCCTCTATTTGTTTGATGATTACGCCACAGCCAGCGAAGATCTGCCGCCCGCCGAGTATACCGCCTTTCCCGCCACCCGTGATTGGCACGACCCGGGTTTTGGCGCTTGCCCTTGCAACCTCAATGATGGCCTCTGCGATTGGGACTGCTGCTGCGATACCGACTGCAACTCAAACGATCTGGCCTTCTTTTCCACCGCTGCCTGTGCATCCCAGGCCCGCACGCTAGGCGATCCCCGTGCTTGTGTCCAACGCAGTCTCCTCAAAACAGTCAACCGCGTAGAGGAGGTGACGACCAGCAACAAGGACATTTTGTGCATTGAGCACGACAACAATGAAGACCGCCTTTTTTATCACCCCCCGCGCCTCGCCGCCAACAGTGCCGCCTTTGAGCAGCTTGTCGCAGGCGATGCCGAGATCGTTGGACTCGCAGATGCGGCACTCAGCACTTATCCAGACTTGACCTCCAACTCATTCTACAACCTGACCCTCGGCGAGATCATGTTTCTCTCTGATGGTAACATCAGCCAAGCCAGCTTCTTCTGGCCATGGACGATTCAAAGCCAGCTGGGACCCAACTGTCTTTCAGAACCTGTGTACTTTGGTGCCACGCAGAAAAGCACTTGCACCCGTCTCACAAAAGATCTCGATTTACCTGCTTTATGCGCCATTCCGCCCCCCACCAACATTCAACGTGGCAACGGGCTCATCAACACCTTCACGCGTGCCATTCCCGCCCTCTTGGCGACCTCCGTCGACCTAGTTGTTGATGGTAAGCCCCGGGGCATATGCCTGCGACTCTCAAGATTCTATGTGCCGGTTTCTCACCGCTCACGTGGCTCTCCGGGTCCCTCAGGCACCCCATGTAACACCTCGGCTTGCACCTGGCCCGAGACAGTCGCCAACACCACCCACTGCCACGGCCTTACCACCCAGGTATGCCAACCTTGCACTTGGCAATACCGCAAATTTGTACACCACCATGCCGTCATCGCGTGCAGCGGATCCGCTCAGATTTGCGCACCCCTGTCGTGGTATCGTGGGTTGGCATAGGTGGACGTTTCCCTGATTTTGAATCCACGCACCGGCGCATCGACGTTACAAATACAAAGCGTCAAGCTGGCCATTACAACGGCAACCCTCGCCGCAGGCAGCACCAGCTTGTACGTACAGAGATGCATCCATACCGAGCAGCCCAGTTCCTGCAACTCCCCCTTCCCTATCTGCCATGGCCCTCTCATCTGCAGACCACATCTGGCCATGACTTTCCGCATAGGTCCCAAACCGTCAACATCGACTATGCATACGGCACCGTGGATCGGTACGATCTAGTCCAAACCAGATAGGGTCGATCTGGGTCGCCGCACTTGTGTTTACGTTCTTGGATCTTTACCACGTTGATGTCCAGCCAGCGGCTCGTCTAATTGCAGCTCTGCTTTCTTCCAACAGGGAACTATCCGGCAATCCCGGCTACCTCGCGCAAAAGCCTGGTCAGGACCCTTCTTCCCAAATCAAAGTCATTATGCGTTCTTCAACCGCCGTCCACCTTGCTTCTTCTTACCCCCTCGATCGGTGCTCTTTCATCTCTTCCAGTTTTGGCTGGCCTTGCTGGCAATGATGCTGTTGATTTGGCCAGTACAAGTACCGAATGGCTGCACACCATGGCCACGCCTACCGGGGCCGCATGCAGTGGCGCCTTTACGTACGTGCTGCCAGAGAGAACTCATTCGCGCACAGGTCTGCTCATGCATTTTAACCTCGCCCTCTTTGGCCCTTTTCGACACAGACCGGTGCTCTTTGGTCAAGAACGCACCACCGCCTGCCGGTTGCGCGCTGTTGTAGCGGCGACCAACAGCAGCCTCATGTGCACAACGCTTCGTGCGGAGGTGGAAGAGGCCCTACTCTCCGCTCGCCAACACCAATCCAACTATGTTGTGGGCGTGTATGGCAATGCTGACCCGAATCAATTGGATGAATGGGCTCCGATTGTCGACGCCAACTACCAACCGCTTGAGCCATCGGGAGATGGCAGTGCCATTTGCTCAGCAGTTCTGACCAGCGTCGCTCTTAATTTGGCCTGGGCCAAGTAGGTTGCTTCTGCTGCTGCTTGAATTTGGCCGATGCCCTTCATGTCAGAGGACTCATATTGGACCTAAACTGCTCTTAGCACCGGCCTTGTAAGCAGTCCACAGGCTGCAATTGTTGGTGCGGCCTTTGATTACAGCTTTGCTGCCATTCCCTTCAGCTGCACAGACACGGAGTGCCGAGCCTCAGTGGCGGTCAGTTTTGCAGCGCGCGTTGCTGACCCTCCTCTCTTGACGCCTGCCTGTGACGGTTGTTGCCTGATGGTGCTCTTTAGATTCAGAGTCAGGTCCGCTTCGTTGACGTTTCGGAGCAGCCAGAATACATCCGCAAGCGGGAACCTGGTACGTTTGGCCTGCCCTCCGGCGCACTCACGACTACCCCATCTCGCATCCCAGCTCCTGCTTCTCACATGCGCACCATCATCATGATTCTGTCCTCAATTGAGCCACAGATTTGCTACAGGACCTGCCAGAAGACTTTTTCTATCCTTTTTGAGCGGGTCGGCAGCGCCTCTGTTTCAGGCTAATTATCATGTCAAGGGGAGCGCAACTCAACACCATGGCCCGCAAGTTGATCGGCGCAGCTTTGTAGTTGTTCCGGAGTCGCCTCAACCACAAACAACTCTGCTGCCAGCGCCTGGCTAGGCGCGGCTGGTGCAGGCGCCACGCCAAGCCGTATTGCTGCCTCGCGTCGCGCAACCGACCCCACCTAAGACATTATCAACCGAGTGAGCTCTGGTCCGATGCACAGGCCATCGCCCACCTCAAGCAGAGCCTTTGGGACGCACCTCCTGAAGAAATAGACGATCTAATTGATGCAACCAGGCACCGTCATCCTCGCAATCGGCCACGTACATGGCCACGCAGTCAACAATCTGTCCGAGAAAACGGGCTCCGTGAGCGCGCAATGAAATCAGACTGGCAGCACGCGGAACCAAAGTACTCGTGCACTTCGTGTCGCCTCAACGTACCCGTTGTTTCAGATTGAGTTGATACTGATGCTCGGCTGCCTCGGTCGGCTTGCGGCAGTGCTCCCACACCACCTGGAGGGCCTGGAGCAACATGTTAAGGAGACCATTTGGTCTGTTGTCTTTTGCTGCACCCACAACACTCACTCACACACACACACACACACACACACACACACACACGCAGAAAAATGGAAACGTGTTCAAAGTCTCGTACCTTGAGTAGGTCGACCGGGAATCCATCAATGTTTAAACGGTGGCCTGGCCAACAAAAGGCGTTGACGACCGACGTCTTCACCTACAAACCGTCCCATTAGCGTCTGCTCGCCTGCCTAGCAGTGCGATTCAACAAAACTGCCTTACTTTGTAGTTGGACACGGCTACGAGCTCGTGCACAAGATCTGCAGCCACCATCTGGACAACACCGCGTTCCCGCGGAACATGAGGAGCCTGTTGGCCGATCGGACGTCAACTTTGCAACCATCATGTGATCAAGCACAAACCTGGAGACGCTCATCGCGAAGACCGCTGCGCTGACATGCATCCATATAACAACCCAGCCCACGACAGGCGTTCCAGCGCACCTACGCAAAAAAAAAAAAAAAAAAAAAAAAAAAAAAAAAAAATCCCACACCGAGAGCCCAAAGAAGCAGAAGGTTGTGGTAAGCAAGCCCTGAGACCGTTTCGGCGACGCTGCAAAGCACGCAAACCTTGGCGGGGCCATGCTTGGCGGCTTTGCGCAGTAGTTGGCCAAGCTCGTGCAACATCTAGTCAGTGCCAACACGAAACATTCCAAATTGTCAGGGTGAAACCACACGTCTCGACACGACCAGGGCACTTTGGTGCAACCACGCAATCGCAACGTGCCTGTAAGTCTTCGGCCTCTGTACTCAGCAAGTAGACCAGCCCTGCAGCAGCACGTACTGCATTGGAAACCACCTGAGCCCGGAACGTGGTGAGCCGCCGCGAGATTTCCCGCTACCACCTCACTAGATCCTTCACGCCAACTCCCCGTGCATCCCACCCACCTTGTCCTTTGCAGATCGGAGCATTTTGCAGGTTTGCTGATTCACGGCCGTACGTAGATCTTGGGAGATGAAATCGCAACGATAGTCATTGGAGCCCATCAACTTTCGGAGCACGACATCCCCAAAATTTCCTATGCCATAATGCCAACCAAGCCAAGTTCAGTTTCCAAAGCCCTTTCCTCAGCGTGTGTTCAACGGGGCCTGGAGGTTGATTGTCTACCAGCTGTGTACGTACCCAGAGCCCAGGAAGCCCGCGCTGTGACTGCGACAGCTGAATCCTCGCATCGCTTGACCAGAGTCTCGAGACAGTCGGTGACAAACAAGCCATCGTCAGCCAAGCAATTGTAGTTGAGCAACTGGCCCAGTGCACTACGTGTCCGGTGCATGACCACACAAGCCCAAATGGTTAGCATGCTGCTCCCATCGGACCTCACACAAATAACAAGCGCGCGCATGTATGACACCCAAGGCATGACATAACATCGGCTCATATGGCAGCAGAATGCACTCAATGACAAAACAATGATCGCAGGTGATTTATCAGACACATGACAGTGGCCATCGTACCGACACGCGGCCGCGCGAATGGATGGTTGCTCATGCTCACTCAGCCCAAGTAGCAGCGCTGGCAGATGGCGCTGTTTCCAGCCCTAGGAGCAGAGAATTGGTTTTAAGATTTACAATGGCAATCGCCACCACCTGCGCACGCACTGGACCTGGTGGGTAGGCTCGGTAGTCATAGCCTACCTCAAGGCGTTGAAACATTGTCTCGCCCACTGCAGCAATTGCATCGCACACAACCGAAGAGAGTGTTGGCGAATGCTGATCCAACAACCGTTGCAACCCATGCGACGTCATAAACTCCCAAAATGAAGCCATCTACGACACACGACTGGTGAGACCTCGTCACAATGTACGCCCGAGGAAACACTTCTAAGCGAGCACTGAAACAACGCTACAAGCCGACTCACCCGCTCCAGATGAGATTCGCTCAGCGAAGTACGCTGCAAGGCTACGCAAATGTCCTCAGCCAGCTACAAAAGCAAACACCGACCAGACAAGGTAATGGTCAAAGCACGGCCACAAGAAATGATAGAGAGCTCGCGGTCCCAGGCGAGAGAGCAAGTGCGGCCCACCTTGACGGTGTGAAGTAATAGAGCAGCGTCGCTGCTGCTGCTGGTCAACCTGAGCCCGATTGATTGCAAGAGCGAAAATAAGAATTTACAAAGGAAAAAACAAAGTCACGTGTTGTCAGTGCTGGGCTGGCCATGCTCACCGTTCCACCAGTTTCAAGTGGCGATCCATAGCGTCCAACGAGACGGCTGGACTGCCACATACATGTGCGCTCAGTGTGTGGATGGCTTCGCCTTGAAGCTGGGTGTTAACGACGTCAGAATCGTTCTCAGCCTTTGTATAGCACGAGAAGGTGAATCAGCATCAGCAAGTCCCAAGCAGCACCAGCCATCATTTGTGGTCGATGACTGTCTTACCATCGACAAAAAGAGGCCCCACAATGTATCTGAACCAATGGGTTGTGCGTGCAAACGCGACGCAAAGGTTGACTGATCGACCTATTGGCATGATAATGGCGCAAGACGACGTGTCAAGGCAAGAACGCAACTGCTAAACCCAATGCGAAACCCGATGCTCCCCAAGCAGGCAAAGATAGGTAAAAAAGGAAAGAACAAGGAAGGGGAGGGCGGATTGTCGTTTGTGAAACATGCGCCATGCAAAGGGGCTTGAAACATACCTGGCTGGTAAACACATTAGCCAGCAAGCGCAGGCCCGTAGAAACGAGATTGTGGTGTACTATGAAGCACAAATATCAACCCGATACAAGCGAGTAAGGTGCTGCGCTTTCCAAGGGGTTTTGACTGCACAGAATAGCCGCTCCAGTCCAGGAGGCACAAGCACCAAACATCATGGTACGGCCAGCGTCCTCGCACCGTGGGGCGTGCCAGCTGATTCAAGGAGAACAGCAACGGCAGTGGCAAAGAGGGATGCGTAGTCGTCTTGCAGCGCGGCGTAGGGGACGATGACCAAGAGCTGCTCCAGGCAGCGGATGCAGGCTACAGTCGAGTGGAACGTGTTGGCACGTTGCAGAAGTTGAACCAAGCCACGGTGCAAGCCATACAGCATGTTGGCAAAGGATTCCGCCAAAGACGTAAAGGCTGTGCCGCGGCGTCGGTTCGATGCGGATTTAATCAAATTGCTTGACTGATTGATCATGGTTGCAATCAACTGCAGGGTGGCTTGCTGAGCTTGCGGAGCAACCTCCAACTCCAGGCTCTCCAGCAAGGAGCCGTGAGCGGACGGGCCCGCCCCTGCTCCAATGATAGCATCCGGAATGAAGGTTTGCCAGTACACGTGCAAGAGACGAGCCGGCAACCGGCGGAGTAAGTGGTGGGCAGCCTCGGTGGCTGCCGCCCGCACTTGACTGGCCGAAACCCTAATGGCGCGCTCAGATTGAGATGCTCGTGTCGTGTGCAAAAATGAGAGCTCGAGCTCATGCCTGAACAGCAACATACTTTTTGCCTTGGTTCGTTGTGGGTGTCGCGTCAGACAGCTCTGATTCGGAGACGCCTGCAGCATTCGTAGCACTGCGGTCTGCTGAGCCTTGTGGCCGACGACGGCGCCGCATCTGTTTGTTGCCAGAACTCGTCGCTGAGCTGCCAGCTCCAGGGCCACCTCGGCCCGTCGAATCGCGGCGGTTCGCATCACCACGTCGCTGCTGCTGCTGAGGAGCGCGATAGCGCTCGGAGGCCACGTCTGCAGCTGCGCTTCGTCGCAAGCTGGGGACCTTGACACGGGGGGTATGAGGAGGGCCCGGCGCGCTCTGTGAGGCCCGCGGAGATCGCGTGGTGCTGTTGCTATCATCTTTGCTCGGCAAGGCCCCACGCGTGGTTTTTCCGGTTGACATGGACGGGTTGGTGCTCTGTGACGTCGGCTGCGGCTCTGGCCGTGGCTGCAACGCACCGACACTTTGAGCATGCCGTGTGGGAGGTGCATAGCGCTATGCCACCGAGAAAAAGAGAGAGTGTGTGTGTGAGAGGCCACAATTGATTCAAAATGTGAGCTCGCACGCAACCTGGGTGTTGTGGCCCATTTTTTTGCTCAGCCTCGCCCGCTCTGAGCCTGGGTGAGACCAGCTTCATGGGCGTACCTCCAGCGGGTCGTAGAACTTGGTTGAAGATCCCGAGCGAACCTCTACCACCCATGAGCCCGGATGGCGTGCCACCTGTTGGGCTGCTGCAATGTCGCAAAACATCAAGGCCTTCACCGTGGCCAAGAGATAAAGGGCTTCCTCATCTGGGATGTTGGTTGCAACGTCGACAACGTGCTGGAGAGTCTTGAGAGCAGCGGAAAGAAGCTGGCAAGAAAGAAGACATTTGTTTGGAAATAAGGCATGAGGCGAAAACACGTCTGTCGATGAGAGACTGTTTGCCTAGATTGTGCCGAGCAATGCGGCACAGATGTCCACCGGACCAAAAATATGCGAGCGTCCGTCAAACCTTGTAACGAATGTAAGGGTCCACCTCCTCCATAGGTGCTTGCAAATTTTCAATCAACACACGTCGAAAAATGCTCATGGCTTTAGGCAGGGAGGCATGTTGTCTATGATGTGAGCATGAAGGTAGACGATGAGCAACGAAGCGGCTCGGGTCTGTTACGGAACCAGAGACGCATCACGTCGCGGACGCACGAGGTCAGCTGCTGTTTGCGGAGGTTGGCACAAGCATAGCCGAGGCATTGGATGGCAAGTCGGCGGGCCTGCAGCTGGTCGTTGGTGATGCTTGCCAGTGACTCGAGCAAACCAGAAGAGCCAATGAGCTGCTCGCGCAACTATGTGAGCGACGACATGGCCACCGCATTGTTAGCTAATGTGTGAGACGAGCTTATTAGTTGATAGACGGGACATACATGGACTGAGACGTTGATGGAGTCGTAGACAAGAGAGGAAAGCGCGCGGAGGCCATGGAGAGTGACATCTGTGTTGGCATCGGGGCCGCGCGAATAGCGGCGGAGAATACCAACCACCGTCGCCAGGATGCCCTCGAGCACCCCCTCATCAAGTTCAAGCTATGCATGCAGCCCAGTTCATTCAAAGATCAGAGCACGCTCGAGCAACATGGTTTTTGAGGCACCGATGCGGTTTTGCAGTCCCCCGACATGCGTCGTCAAGGCGCAGCCAGCCCACCAGTCATCCACAGAGACTGAACAACCATGATGGCATGGTCCCTGAATACCAGGAAAACGCCCACTCCCTACTCCCCAAGGTGAGCACAGTAGACCTACGTTGTCCTGGTGGTAGAGGATGTTGGTGACAAACTTGCAATAGTGGGCAGCGGGGCGGGGGTCGTCCTGCAGATTGGCTGGCGTAAACAGGGTCAGCACGAAGCGAGCGTCCTTCTCTTCCACCCCGGGCAAAGGAAACCGCAACTGCGCCAGTCCCGACAGTGCTTTTTGCCACACGCCCGGCTTGGTCCGCTCTGTCGGTGACTGCAAGCAAGCCACCAGAGCGACCCATTCCTGCGACGACGCTGCCATCTCTCGCGCGCGCGCCCTCAAAGATTCAGAAAAAAAAAAATCAGAAAAAAAATACTGATGTCAGCATATTTTATATTACAGAAGGTGGTTGTATTTAGAGGGTTGTGACCGTTATTGTCAGATTAAAAAGGGTGCAGGGAGGTGAGCGTCAGCGTCCGGGGAGGACGAGGGAGGAGGAGGGGCCTCCCTCCCCATGGGCAGCGGCACGGCTGTGTTGAAGACGGGGTTGGAGCAGGTTGTGTTGGGTGGTCAGGAGGTGGGGGAAGGGGTTGGAAGGTCACGTGTGGGTAAGCGGCGAAGAACAAGACGCGCTCATGGTCTTGAATTGTGACACCATCAGGCAACAGAAGAAGAAAATTTTCACCATGGCCGATCCTGGCAAGCGCGAAGACTACATCAGCAAGGAATGCTGGTATATGAGCATGGCCATGCTAGCAGCCAAAAGATCCAAGGATCCCAACACGCAGGTTTGGCACTGCCGTTGTTTCTCTCTCACATGCAGCGCCCGTATGCCAGGCCTCGACCCTCTGCGTGACAAGCCCGCTGACCCACCTGATCTGCCTAGGTGGGTTGCACCATCATCAACCCGGATGGCATCGTCGTGAGCATGGGCTACAACGGCTTTCCCATTGGCTGCTCGGATCAAGAGGTGTGTGTCATGGCCATTGAGACCCGTGCGCTGCCTGCTACCGACCGCTGCCCGCATGAGGCAACGATTCACACCTGATGCCCACGCTTCCAGTTGCCCTGGCAAAAACATAGCGCAAACCCTCTCGAGACCAAGTTTCCCTACGTGTGCCATGCTGAGATGAACGCCATTCTCAATACCAATGACGAGAGCGTGCGTGGCTGCACGTTGTACGCCACGCTTTTTCCTTGCAACGAGTGTGCCAAGATGATCATCCAGGTCTGTATCAGCACGCAACCAGCGACACACGTCACAAGAAGTCGCTTTTGGCTCTGTTGCAGCCCCTCACGAACGCTGCCCCACAGGCAGGCATTGTGGAGGTGGTGTATTTATGTGACAAATCTCGAGATAAGCCCTTGGTGCAAGCCTCGCGCCACATGTTTGATCTCTGCGGTATGGACTGGCTCGAGCACGCGCGGGCCTGGTCCGTCCCTGCCTGTCTCATCTGTGCCTCATCTGTGCAATGCAATCCCCATCTGCTGCCGTTCCTTGCTGAAACTCTGGGCCGCTGGCAGGTATCAAATATCGACCGTATCGTGAGCAAGCGCATCGCCAGCTTCAAATTCGCTTTGACCAATATCGACAGCCGTCAACCACGGCCTCTTCGTGAGGGTTGTGTCGGCAAGCTCGCGCCAACATCTTCTGTCGCGTTGCGGGCGGTCTCAATATCATTTGTGTGCCTGAACTTTCCCGTTTCTACGTGTCTGCGTGTCCTTGTTCAAGTTGCCATTCTGTCATCAACGTGATTGGTTATGCTGCGCATAACCACACGACTCCTGCTACACCTTGCTCTCTGCGCGTCTCTCAATAATTTCAATGAGAACATCAGCCCTTGCCAGGAGTTTTTGTCAGTCGACGTGAAGAGACCGGTGAAAGATCATGGCACAGGCAGTATCGAGGTAGAACTGTTCGATGGCTCAATTTCGGGCACTCGACCACCTCCACGACCCTGCTCGGTCCGACTCGGGGATTAAAGAAAATTTATGGGGGATCAGGTAGGTCGGAGATGTTGCTGTGAGTCGGCAAATGTATAACGCAACCGAAACGCCTCAGCTAGCAGAAGCTCAATCTCTGCGTCTTGCCACGCACTCGTGGGCAAATTTTGCAACGCTGGCATCAAGTCCTGCGGAAAAAAAAAAACAAGAAATGAGCGTGACTCGGGACCCGTTCCATATTCCTTGCGCTCTCATTCTCGCTCTCTCCCTCGTGCAGGTCGGGTGAGAACCCAACGAAAATCGTTGTGCTAGCTCACCTCCATGTCAAACTTGCTCTGCAACTCCTGTGAAAAGGTCTTGAGAAAGGCTGCACATACATAGACGTGGAAATCGGCAAACCCGTTGCTCTCGGCCAGATATGTATCCCACTACCCACATCCAAGAAAAAAATAGAGGGCACATGAAACGTCAGTCAGACGATAAATACGTGATGCTGCCAAAGGAACCCTCCCCCCAAAAACGATTGAGATGGCTCGCTATAGACGAGGCCACCCCAATGCCCAAGAACAACTTCTGCACATCGAGATGTTCATCGTGGCCCCAGCAAGTAAGTTGAGTCACCGTACCAGGCGCACGATGCAATGGAGAGGCATCTCGCGCATCAGCATGCAGTTGATCCAACGGAATGCAAAGCGCACATAAGGTACACCACAACTCATCAAGTGATCGTGCAAGGGCACTATTACAAAGCATATGCGCGTTTGCGTGCAAGCGACGAAATGAGCCTCGAGCCTGACGGCATCACAAGCGGTTGAGAATGGCACCCAATACCTACAATCAATGCGCTTCATCAGTTCTTCCAGGGATTGCAGCTTAGCCTGTACACCGGGCTGTTGAGCCGTGTAGTTGTCCTGAGACACAAGCCCCAGAAGACTGGTCAGGTGACAGAGGCAGGGTGTCCGGGTGGCTGGACCATTTCATGGGCCCATGACACAACCAGATAGTAATGTTCAAATGATGGCCAAACCTGGATGCCGTCCAAAAGCCGAGAGAAGCACCAAAAGGTATCAGCTTCGACGCTTCCCAAGTCTACCTCGTCAACTTCACCCGAATTAACATCTGCAATATCCAAGCCTGTACAAAGCAGCCACGGCATTGGTACGGGTAATGTTTGAGATGTGAAGGCGTCCACGACCTGCCTCAAGCCGACATTGCGCCCCTGGCGCAGTTGCGCCCGCAACATCGCACGCACCTGTGTGGCGGTGCAGGAAGACGGCAAAGAACGGAGTGGCGAGGTCGTTCATGCCTTGTACGTAGCCCGAAGCTGGGTGACGGATGGCCCAAATATAAAGGACTCGCTCTAACATCTGCAAACAATTTTTCGAATGTGCAGGTGCATACCCAGTGAGACATCTTGTTGCAATGCAAACCTTTTGGGTGCACATTCGCGCTCTCGACGTGGCAGGCACATTGCCAGCAGTAGGGAAAGGCACACACCTCCTTCATGACTGGCTGTTGAAAGGTCCGAATCGCAGGGCTCGTTCTAAGAACATCAATCTGGATCTGATGAAAGGCCTTCTGGTTTTGAGCATCCAGTCGCGTGCCGTAGTACTGCCCGACAAATCCACGATACTCGTCTCGCTTGCGCTCCAGTGTGGCATCGCGACGCTGAATGTTGGCTGGTAGGTAGCCCTATGTTCATACCGAGTGATTTGACGTTCAATGAGAAAATTCAAAAGAGGCAAGTCTGCATGCCGGGTCCATGATCGAGTTGTTGCAAGGGGCCACACCGAGAGAATCATCCAAGTGGTGGCCCTTGACTCCTGCGGGCAACCGGACCATGATAGCTCCTTCAAGCGACCTAATTTGAGGTGTGCACACCCGTGAGCCAAGACCTCCACATGCTCACCAGGCAGGCGGCTCTGAGCTACACACCGATATCGAGGCTTGGGGCGGCGAGAATTGCATTAAACTTGTCTCGGCGCATATCTGCCTTGGAGCGGAAGCTAACTGAAGATGCTTGAGCATTCTGCTTCAGCTTGGCCGAGTTTGATTGAATGGTTGCTGGTGCTGACGCTGGGGGCACAGGCGAGGCGTCATCCCGATCAGCTGCCAAGGCAGCCGCTGCGTCGATGGCGGAGGGAGCATTGGGGTGGGTATGTGCAGTCGATTGCACGCGCTGCTCAGTCGTGAGCTGACTCTGAGTTTTGGGAACGCTTTCCGGGGATGTCATGCTTCGCTGCCGTGCAAAATGAGGCCCTGCGTCGGCGGGTGCGCTGCTCGGCTCTTTGGCGCTGGACGAGGACGTGAGACGGCCTCGGGCAACAGCATCCTCGCCTGAAGCTCGCGTCGAGGAGTGTGACGCCACAAGTTCATCTTCACCATCGCTCCAGGCGCCGTCAATAGCCTCGTCAAAATCTGAAAAAGAAGAACTAGCATGCCTGGCGTCCCTCGAGCCCCGATGTTAGGACGCATGAGAAATACTGGGATCGACGGGGATGGCAAGAAGAACACGGACGCCGGGACATGGTCTGGTGCTCACCTGGGTTTGCCCTCCATGCTCACGGGCCGTGCACTAGACAGCAGGAGAGCAAAGGTAAACGCACAAAGAGAAGTAGAAACAAGATGATGAGTCAAGCGCGAGAGGCATGTGGCTGAATCTCAAGGCCACACGCAAAAATTCCTACCGGCCTGGCCCTCGGCCCGTCATGCGTCGCCAAAAGGAAGTGGAACCGGCTGGGGCCGAAGAATCGGCCGAGGGTTCAGCTGCCATGGTGACGATAGGTGCTTGGCTGTGGCGCCGACCAGGCGGACGGTTTAAAGCTGTGCCCGCTGGCGCAACAGATTTTGGCTGTTTCTGCCCCTGCGCTGGCCTTGTGTGCACCCGGCGACACGGAGTTGCTCACCCCCGCGTACTCGGCTGTTTGCAGAACCAGCCACGCTCAACCTGCTGTCAGATTTGATCTCCGTGCAGCGATGCGCTTGCCTACAGCTAAGCAAACCACCCACCGCATTGATCCAAGAGAAAACGAGAGCGCGCGCGCGCGCGAAAGAGAGAGAGAGAGAGGGAAGTGATGAGCCGTGTCCATCGGAATGCAGTGCCAAGCCCTCAACTGGCCATACTACTGTGACAAGGTGCAAGCATCTGGACACTTCCTGCGTACCTTTAGCCAGATCCGTGCTCTAACCATTCAACAATGAGAAGAACAGGCTCAACTCCCGAGCCTTTCGATCACTGCCACACTGCCACTGCCCACTGCCCACTGCCACACTGCCACTGCCCACTGCCCACTGCCACTGCCAAAAACCATTCAGCAGCAGCAGCAAAAGAGATAGAGAGAGAGAGAGAGAACTCTTTCTTCTCTCTCTCACAAGAAAACAAAAGGAAAAGGCAGTGTTGTTGACAACAGCTGTTGTGGTCGGCGTCTCTCTTCTCTCTCTCTACCAATTCATTCTCTCTCTCTCTCTCTCTCTCTCTCTCTCTCTCTCTCTCTCTCTCTCTCTCTCTCTCTCTCTCTCTCTCTCTCTCTCTCTCTCTCTCTCTCTCTCTCTCTCTCTCTCTCTCTCTCTCTCTCTCTCTCTCTCTCTCTCTCTCTCTCTCTCTCTCTCTCTCTCTCTCTCTCTCTCTCTCTCTCTCTCTCTCGCTTTTGGAAGGGGCGCGAGTGCTCGTGGCACGAGGGTGTGCCCGTGTGTCCAGCGGCTGCTGTTGGAGGTTCATGTACCTTGTTCACGACTGGGTGTGAAGAGGTGCGTAGGGCGTGATTGTGGCGATGGGTGCTGGTTGGTTAGCGATGCGTGGTTAGGGGCGGATGACGTGGCGTTGTTGGGATGGGATCATGCTGAAAGCCAACGCACCTTGATTGCAGTCTCCCCCTCACCGTCAGTTTGCCATTCGTCGTTTGCCCTGGTAGAAGCACACGTCGTACGCCCGTGTCTTTGCCTTTTTTTTATCGGCCAACCGAGAATACTACAGCAACATGCTGTGGGGTGTGCTGCTGGCTGCGCTACATGCGTGCGCCGGGCTGTGGAGCTATTGGCAGCGAGCTGCAGGACTCTTTCTACGCCTATTCCTGGCAGTGACCCAGCCAGTGTCTGTGGAGAAGCTACCGGACATTGTTCGCGGCTTTGCCAAAACACCACGTCACCTGTGCATAGCCGTGGTGGAGGATCAGCTGCATTACCAGGACCTGGCCACCTTGGTGGCCTGGGCCGTGGCAGCGCGAATCCCTTACATCTCCGTCTGGGATCCAACGGGTGCGTAGATGCCAGCCGGGCCATGAGAAGCTAGTGCAGGTTTGCAAAAGAGTACTTGCAGGGTGCAACGATGCAGAACCTGGCATGCTGACCGCCCGCGGTCTGAAATGATAGAGCGCGTCTATTGCAATCAGCAATCGTTGTGGAAACTCGTGGACAAGACCATGCTAGCCTTGCCGGCCCCCTGTGGAATTGGCTACGAATTTGTTGGTGCGTCCTGCCCCCTTGACTGATGCCGGCGGTGGCAACGGCATCAGATGATACGCCTTTGGCTCAGTGAAGGCTCTTATGTTGTTGGCTTGTGTTGCCGTGTGGCATTACCAGCTGCGGGGACGAGCTGTGATGAGGGTCAGTACAACACGCATGTCACAGCCTTTGGCCTGCGCCATGGCAAAGCGGACGTGGTGCGCGCCGTTGTTGAACTTGCAAAAAGTCGGACCACAACCAGTGATGCGGCCTCTCGCCTGCAGGTCTCAGACCTCGACAGTGCGTTGACACGTAAGACCAGGCGTGATCTACTCGGACTTGCTTCACCCCGACTCGATCTTTCCTTGCACCTCTTTCTTCTTTCGTTGCTTCTTTCTGTTCTCCATTCTCCTCCTTCTCTTCCTTCTTCTCTTCCTCTTCCTCCTTTTCTTCCTTCTTCTTCCGCTTCGCTTCCTCCTTCTCTTCCTCTTCTTCTCATTGTTCTTCTTTTTCCCTTTCATCTTGTGTGCTCTTTCGCTTTCCTTTTTCTCTTTGTTCGCGCGCTTCTCTTCTTTGGTGACGTCCTGCATTCTGTTAGAATGGATCATGGGTATGCTTGCGAGGTTTTTTTATTGCGCTCACGCTTGGTGCCTTGCCTCGATTGCTGTGATGGCGAACCCAGCACATCTGATGGGCTTTCCCGACCCCGACTTGGCCATTGTTTGTGGATCAGAACCCGTTCTTCACGATCTCTTGCCATGGCAATTGCGCGTCACTGAGCTGTCGTGAGTGGACCTACCCCAAGGCCCTTGTTGTTGTCGGGCATTGTGTGCGCACACTTGCTCTCGCCTTTTCTTAAACATACCACTGCTTTCTTGCTTTAGGTTTGTGCCTACGCACAAGCAGATGGGGCTGCGCCGCTTTGTGGGGTGCCTGGCCGCCTATGCACGCTGTGAGCAGCGCTTTGGGCATTGAGTGCTCGGACATGAGCTGAGCTCCGTCTGCTGCTGCTTGAAGCCTTTGTTGCTGCCAGCTTATGAGTTTGTCGCTGGTGGCGATGAGGAAATGCCGAGCAAGAGAGAGTGAAGAGGTGCCCTCTGGGGTGATCACAAAGGATGGACCGCACGGCAACGCCCCACACACAGCTCCTTGGTCGTTTAGAACAATATGCGCGCGCAAACAAAACGCGATTGGTCCAGTTGTCGGTCATTTGTATTTCCTTTTTATTCTAGCTCGTGAGCTGTGGCTGCGGTTGAGGTTGAATGTGATTGGCGCGGGAAGCGCTTAGGTCTCCAATGAGTCTTGTCCGTTATAATCGAGTTCCCAATTATTCATTGTTGTCTTGGGGACGAGCGCCAACTCACCAGTCAGTTTGACGGGACTTCAAAAGCCCGCTTATGTTGCGTCGCGTCTTTTGGTGGGGTTTTTATTCTTGGCTGCCTTCTCGTGATCGTCATGTGAGCTGGACAGATCTGTCCGAATTGGGCCCTGCAGGCCCAATATTGAGATGGGACTCGATGTACCTGATACGCTTCGCATGTGCCGTGGCACGCCCTCTGCAGAAAAAAACTCATGCCATGATGTGAACCAGAAGAACCATGTTGCGTGACCCACCACCTCCTCTCACCCAACCATTTGACCCGGAAGCTCCAGACACGCAGACTGGTGCTGGGTCACCACCACCACCACCACCACATGGACACCAGCGCCGACGCGATTCATATCTTGTCGTGCCCATCCCACTTCACCCACAACGCCTGGCTCGAAAATCATCAGATTTGTGCCGTAAGCATAACATTGTTCGTACACGTTTCAAGACCGGGCCAGGACGAGCAGGGCTCCCCATCACGAGCCCTGTATCGAGTGCTTTTGAATCATGGTACGGTCTCTTCGGGATTGAAGCCCCTGCTCCCTCCCGTAGCGACGTGCCGACTGCGTGGTCCGAGCGTGCCACAATGAAACAGTGTCGCCCTTTGTAGATTGATTCCCCATTTCCTCCAGGTTGTGGCGCCACACACACACACACACACTCTCTCTCTCTCTCTCTCTCTCTCTCTCTCTCTCTTTCTCGCTCTCTCTCTCTCTCTCTTTCTCTTTCTCTTCTTTTTACGAAATTTATGGGTGACAAAAAAAAATTGAGCCTTTCGCAAGGCCATTGAATTTCGCATACGTGGAAGCAAGTTAATCAAACATCAAGCTGGGGATTTACCACACGTTCAACACCCCTGTCACATTCGCGACGGATACCTTTCAAGCTTCGACGTTGACACCCCCTCTACACACTGAAACGTCTTGCAATCTCGCCCCTCTGGCTCGCCTTTTGCCTCGTCCTTCAAAGGAAGTCCTTATCCTCCAGGACGATACCCACACACCCACAAACACACACCCACACACACCCACACACAACAACAACACAAGGTCAGCTGTGGACGTGGACGCACAAGATCTTGCCAACACCATGCAAGCTGAGAGAGAAAATGGCACGGGTCGTGTGTTTCTTTTGTTTCTGCTCTCACTCTCTGAATCTCATATTCTTCTCTCTCTCTCTCTCTGTCTCTCTCTCTCTCTCTCTGTCTCTCTCTGTCTCTCTCTCTCTCTCTCTCTGTCTTTCTCTGTCTCTCTCTCTCTCTCTCTCTCTTTCTCTCTCTCTCTGTCTCTCTCTCAAACTCTCTCTCTCTGTCTCTCTCTCTCTCTCTGTCTCTCTCTCTC